CTTTTAGTCGTCGCGCACGATTACGTGGCGCCCTTCTTCGCCTTCGACTTCCCCTGCTCCTGATTGCCCGCTCCCCCGCTACACCCCAGCCTCGCCACCCGCCGATACAGCTCGCTGTTCACGAAACGGGGATACGAGTCCCGGTGCATCAGGGTATAGATCTGAAGTTGGGCCTCGTCGAAGGTGTGCGGCGTAGGTTGCACCATGTTGCGGTTCACTATCTCGCGCACCCGCGAGTCCAGGCTCACCTGAAAACGTCGAACGAGCGTTAGAGATGGTTGGGCTACGATATCGCACGCGATATCATGTTCGCTCCTCCCTGGAAAAATTCTTGATTGCAAATTTTTTTGAATGAGAAAAGGAATGAGTAGTTGTTGATCTGCTCTGATTCTTTAAAACGATTCCATACGTTTTTGAATATAAAGAAAGTTACAGAATGATATTGATTTTTATTTGGTTTCATTGTTGGAGTAATTGATAATACTGTGGTGGTTATTCGATCGATTCGAGTTGAGTTTACTTTGTAAGCTCTCGAAGGATAATACCTTGGTTGGAAAATTTAATTGGAAACGAATAAAAATATATTGAATTGAAGGAAAAGTTGCGCGTGTGTTTTTTTTTTTTCCCCAATACATGAAAAAGATGTAAAAATTACTGATACGCGGTGTGTCAAATAGTTTTCTCAGCTGACGCGAGAATGTTTAATCCACGATAGCGAAAGCGATAACGATGCGGACGATCGACCGAGATACCAGATTTTCCAACAGCATTTTGCAGATTGGAGATTACACGAGCGTTTAACCGACGTTCTGTGCCTTCGAGGACGGCAGATGCCTATTCGGCTCTTTCGCCGAAAACAAACACGTTACTATAACAGAAAGGAAGTTTAACTAGCCACGGAGAGAATAGCCTCTAAGGCATCGATAAGGAAATTTCGTTTCGCGTTTTCCTCGGTCCGCGGTTTGTCAAAAAAGGTTAAAAAAGATTCAAAAATGTATTAACAATTACGAAAAATCTGTAAATGATTTATCGAAAAACTTTAAATTTATCTGATCAGCTAGAGCTAACATCTTTTTCATTAGATAAACGAGATTTTACTAAGATTAAGATTATACGAATAATTTTCATTGAAAATCCTAAACCTGTAAATTATTTATCACAAAACGAGGACATCTTCCAAAGTTAAACAAATACTAATACTCGATATCGACGAGACGATGTATCAATTTATATAGATAGCCTTGATCGAAAAACTTTCATTTAATATCTAAAAATAACAATATGCAAATCGCAATAGAAATTATTTCGAGAGCCTGACATTTAAGAGAAGAACAATAATATTCCTTCGTATTCCTTATTTTCAACTTTAAACTGCAATTACCACGTTAAAATAACTCACTTTCCATCTATTAAAATGAAATTATACCATCCGTTCATTTCCTATCAATTACTCAACCCTTCCAAACGTACCAATAACCCCATCCCCAATAACCCAATAAACCTTCAACCCTTCCTGCTACTCGTCAAAAATTATTTCGATTAAACCGATGAATATTTAAATCTTTTAATCTTCAAATTGCAAACCCTGCCCCAGAAAAATATCAAAATAAAACCAACCTCTTTCTCCGAGACTGTGGATATGTAACGGTCGTAAATGTATCTCGCGTTCTCCTCGATCTTCTCGGAATTGCTCTCGCGTTTGAGCTGCTCGCACGCGAGCCAGAACGCTATGTTCTCGTCGCTGTACTCGCTGAGGAGGAACTCCCTGAAGAACTTGCGCCCCGCCTGGCTCTTCATCAGCTTGTCGAAGGACGAGCCCCACGACCTGATCTCCTCGAGGCTGCACTCCGTGTCGAGGCCCTCGAGCCCGTTACCCGCGTCGCACAACTCGCTTCCAAAACCGTGCTCCCCGACACCCGCGTTCCCCTTCTTCTTCCCCTGATCGCCCGCGCCTCCTGCGCCCCCCGTGTTCCCGCCAACCGCCTCCAAACTGTCAATCGTTCCATTATTATTATTATTATTATTGTATATCCCTTTCGATTCGAGGATCGGCGAGAGTTGAATCGAGGGTGGAATCTTCTTCGCATCGAGTCTTCGACGAGATTGCGTGGTTAACAGGGATTCGTATGATTTTATTTCCCACTCTAAAACTCTAATATTCGTAGGATAACAATTATGTTATGAAGTTCTACGCAAATGGAAAATGATGATTCGTTTAGAAAGAGATTGAAATTTTCTCTCTCTCCCTAATAAATAAAACTTTGAAACGGGAAATTACCTGATCAAAACCCTCCTCCCTCTCGGCTACGCAACTCGAAACCGCGTTTTAGAAAGAACGATTTATGAAAAATTGAATTTGAAAAAGGGAGAAAGGAGAGCGTTCGTTCAACGCGTGCCGGAATCACGACGCGGAATGAAACGAAATAAATAAAAGGACGGCTTGTTCGGCGACGTTTCGTTCGCCGCGACACGATAACGAAGGCCAAACATCGAGTGTATAAACAAACGGGGAAAGATAGGAGAAACGCGCGACTAATCGGGGAGGGGAAAAACGTTTCCCTCGAGATTTCCGCCGTCGAGGATGACGGACACGTGTTACGCATCCGGCGTGGACTTCCCAGCGACCCTCCCCTCCCCTCCTCCCCGCGTAATCTATCGACCCGTTCGACCGGTTATCGGTCGACCGATTTGGAAAAAATTCGACCAATATCCGTTTTCTTATCGTACGAATACGTTTTCCCCTCCTCGAGGGGGATCGAAAGAAGATAGGAGAGAGGGAAATTGTGGGTGCAATGGTGCGATCGATTGGAAATATTCGTGGGACGAAGATGGGTTTTTACGTGCAAAAACTGTGTATGTAAATGGATACATGGTTTTTATACGATCTTCTAAATAAATTTAAAAGGCAAAGAGCCGAGTGTTTTTTAATGGCAACATCTAAGGTTACCCCTTATGGTTTCCGTCACACGAGAGGGGCACTCGTGTCCTGGAAATTACAATTTCTTCTCTTGAATTTGGAATAATCAATTCAAATTCAAAATTAAAACTCGAATCGTTCTCGTTCTTTAAATATGATTGTTGAATTTAAATTTAATACAAGAATTAATATAATTCACCCCTAACGAAACACCCCAAATTTTCGAACTCGAAGATTCCAACCTCGAAGATTTTCAGCTCTAGAAATTCGTGACTTGCATATTTTAGAAAAACAAAAAATCCACGATTTTAAAAAGTAATTCCAAGCTGGCCTGCTTACCATTTATCCCTGCGTGCAGCATGAAACACAGAAAGAGCGTACGTAGGTACGGTTGTTCCACGGTAAAATAGGTCGTAGCTCAGTTTTAAAGACAATGGACTGACGTCGTTTCGCTTATGATTATATATTACGAAACACGGTGATAATGGCTTGTCACGAGGCAGGATACGCGAGTTATCGCAGGACGGTTTCGAGGATCGATTGTCGGCCGCCGCTGTCTCTCTTTTCGCCGATAGACGGATGAAAACGTTTCGATCGGCTTCGTCGTTTCGTAGTTGAGAGAAAGAGAGAGACAGAGAGAGAGAGGGTATTTCAACACGCGGAGATTTTCCAGTAAATAACTTTTCTTTTTCATTCGATTCATTTCCGAGTCGAGGTTAGTTCATTGTCTTTAACCAAGTGCTCGGAACGTACCGTTGTTGCAAGAAGAGCAATACGTTGTAAGCGTGAATACGTTGAACGAGGACGAGATTTGTGGAATAATTGAAATTTGAACGGTGAAAAGAAATCAGAATTAAAGATTGTCCCGAGTGCTTGATCCAGAGATTGATCTATTCGATTATTTGCAAATAATTAAAAAATTTCTTTTTTAACCTTGACGCAATATTGTTATTACAAGGTACTGCTTCCAACTCACCCCTTTATTAAATTAATTATCGTTAGGTCATACGTGCCTCGGCTCGGGTCAGATAACAAACTTGTTACCTATGATACCGATTAAGGGTCGATAATTTTAAACTATGAGTAAAGTCAACAAAGTTAACGAGTAATAAGTTTACTCTTACGAAAAAAAAAAAAAAAAAAAAGAAAAGAAAAAATTTCTCAACTCCATAAAAAAAGAGAAAATACATTTCGTGCCATTCGAAAATTCAAAATTTTAAATTTTGGCGCCAAAATGTACGTACGTATACAAATTATTCATCTCGTCGAAGATGAAGATCGTCGATTTAATTTCTTATATATATATATATATATATATAACTGCCACAAATTTCGTCCGATCAACAAAGACAGAAAATATAGACAGGAACGGTAATACCACGAGCAACTACAACAACAGCACCACCAACAACAGTTTTCCTTCTTCGATCGGCCCATGATCCCTGAGGGCTGGCGTTGCTGCTGCGGCTGCTGCGACGAGGGTGGCGGCTGCTGTTGTTGTTGTTGTTGTTGTTGCTGCTGCTGCTGCTGCTGCTGCGAGGATTGCTGCGAGTTGGCCGAGGAACAGCTCGCCTGGCCTTGGCTCTGGACGCGCAACATGCACCCACCGGCGACACCCTCGCCACCCCCTGTCCTGTGGCTAACGCCGATCCCCATTGCAGTTGCACCGATTCCGCTCGACATCTGCAAACGATATCTGCTCTGATCAGCCGCCCCTCCCTCTCCCTCTCTCTCTCTCTCCATCGCATCGTCCTCGCTAAAAATAAAACGCGCACACACCGCTGGCCACTGGAGCGAACCGATCACGCGACCTTAACCTTCTTCCACCGGCCGATTCGCGAGAATCGAGAGGGAGGGGTGAGATGAGTCGTGAGATTGGAACACAGGGAGGATGACACTTTGGAAATTTTCTTTTTTTTTGTTAAAATTGGAAAATGTCAAAAGGTTGTTCTGAGCGAGTTTTAACTATCTATTCGAGGGAAGAAGAATTTAACGGATTCGAGAAGGTGTAGATGATGGATTCTTTAAATTTTTCCTTCCAAATTTTTCTTTTTTTTCTTTTTTCTCCTCTCTCAGTGAAATAAGTCAGAGTATCGATTAGTCTTATGCGCGACGTTAGCCTTCCTTCGATTCGAGGAAGGAAATTGAGAAGGAGTAAGTTGCCAATTGTTACGAGGAGGGGTATGATACTTTTGAAATGTATTTTTAAATTTTTGCTTTAATATTGGAATCGGTCTGTCGTATCGTTTTTGGTAAGATTTTAATTCGTGGAAATCGAAGGAGGAAAGAGAATTGAAATTTTACTTCGAAAACAAAATTTTTTACAATAATAAAAGTTACGCTTCTAAATTCGTGAAAATTTTATCTGGAAAAATTACAAGAAGATTCGTGGTTGGAAAATGGAAAGGAGAATTTAAAGTTGTAAAGAGAATTAAGATGTGGAATATTCAGATTCGAGAATATCTTTAAAAATTTTTGAAAGAAACAATGAAAGAAGAATGGAAGGAATTGTCAGCGTGAATAAAATTAGAAATGGGGACGCTTTGTGTTGAATTGATTCTGAATTCTTTCGAACGTGTGGAAAAAAAATTGTAGCGATATTCTTTGAAATTTTTCTTTCGAAAATTAAGTTTCGAGCACAGAACTTGAGCAATAAAAAAAAAAAAGAAAAATTAGAAAAAAACGATATTCTTTCAAGTTTTAAAAAACTTGGAAAATCGAGGAATAAAATTGAATAAAAAAAAAAAGAAAAAGTGTATCGAAAGTATTAAAAAGAAGATTCTTCTTCGAAAAATTATTAAAGAAATGAAATTAGAAATAACGAATTGAAAATATGTAATGAGAGTATAGTTATAGTAATTTCCATCCATCCAGGAAAGGGAAAACACACGAGAGTTATAGTTGAGGAGATAAAGTGACAAAGGTTGATTCGAAATGTTAATAATAAGCGAGGATTAACTGCGGAAATCTGCAGCCCGCTAGGTAGCGACAATCACGTTGTAGATTCTAATTGCTACATTAATGTCAACGTTGTGGGACTTATTCTCCGGATTTTGATTAGGGCAATCCGATTAGGGAACGCGAAATTGGCATACATAGGAGGAGTGCCGTCAAACGACTATAAACGCGTGATATAAATTGATCGTATCGTGGAAAATGAGCAAAATAAATGTTTCTCCATCCAACTTTTTCGTTTCTTTTTTTTTTTTTTTAAACCATTTCGAAACGAATTTTCGTATAATTGAAAAATTTGAATCTAAATTATGTTAATTAAAGTTCAATCGTCGAAGCGATTCCAAGAGAAAGAAAAAAGAAAAAGATCCTCGATTCGTTAAACAATTGAAAAACAAATTTTCACGTGATCGAAAAAAATTTAAAGTTTAAATTAAATTGATATTAAAATTATATTCGAGATCGAATATAAATGATTCTTCGATCCTAAAAATTTCTGGAGAAATAAGATCCTCTGCTCTGTTTGACGATAGAAAAAAAAAAAAAAAAGAAAAAAAGCTTTATTAAAACATCGAAACGATCGAAACGGGTGGAATAGATTTTGATTAGTCGGAAAGCGTTTCACGTGATCCTCCTTTCTTCGATATTCCGGTTTATGGAGCCGGTAAATTGAAGTGGCTAAAGGGAGGTCATTTCCATCAGAGATAGTTTTCAATAAAG